TTAAACAGCTGGGCGCAGTGGCTCACACCTGTAATCCCAGCACTTTGAAAGGCCGAGGTGGGCGGATCACGAGGTCAGGAGATCAAGACCATCCAGGCCAACATGGTGAAACCCCATCTCTACTAAAAATCCAAAAAGATTAACTGGGTGTGGCGGCACACACCTGTAGTCCCAGCTACTTGGGAGGCTGAAGCAGGAGAATTACTTGAACCCAGGAGGTGGAGATTGCAGTGAGCCAAGGTCGTGCCACTGCACTACAGCCTGGGCGACAGTGGGAGACTCCATCTCAAAAAAAAAAAAAAAAAGAAACATTTAAAAGTTCATAGATGGAAACCAGAGTCATGTGTTTTTGGTACAGGGTCAACTCTAAACATGTTTCAGGAAAACACAACAATATGACTAACTTAGTATCGTCCTCTGTCTAAGGCTCTGAACTCGAGGCTTGCTCAGAATCCCTTATTTTCATCTTGACTTAGAATCCAAAGAGAAAACAGAAAGACTTTCTAGACACGAGAGCCACTGTTTCTCAATGTCCTCGCTCCATCTACAATGATCTCTTGTTCTACCATTTTGGGAAACATGATTCTAAGAGATTGGTCTGGAGTGACAGAGTTCCTTCTTCTCTCCAGAGATGTCAGTTTTCACCAGAGGTCTCATTCTTTAATGTCTGCATGGCTCACCGCAACCTCCACCTCCCGGGTTCAGGCAATTCTCCTGCCTCAGCCTCCTGAATAGCTGGGATTACAGGCATGTGCCACCATGCCCAGCTAATTTGGTATTTTTAGTAGAGACAGGGTTTCTCCATGTTGGTCAAGCTAGTCTCGAACTCCCGACCTCAAGTGATCTGCCCTTCTTGGCCTCCCAAAGTGCTGGGATTACGGGTGTGAGCCACTGCACTGGCCTAATTATTGTATCTTTTGTAGAGATGGGGTTTCGCCTTGTTCCCAGGCTGGTCAAACTCCTGGCCTCAAGTAATCTGCCTGCCTTGGCCTCCCAAAGTGCTAGGATTATAGGCATGAGCCACCACACCCAGCCCAAACTGTCTTTTTCCTATTCTCTTACATAGTCATTCAGCATAACACTTTTGATACCAGATACATGTGCAGTTTTTTTCCTCATACACCAAGCAAGCAATTCTGTAACAGACACCAGCTGAATGTTTTATAATTCAATTCTGGCCGGGCGCGGTGGCTCAAGCCTGTAATCCCAGCACTTTGGGAGGCCGAGGCGGGTGGATCACGAGGTCAAGAGATCGAGACCATCCTGGTCAACATGGTGAAACCCCGTCTCTACCAAAAATACAAAAAATTAGCTGGGCATGGTGGCGCGTGCCTGTAATCCCAGCTACTCAGGAGGCTGAGGCAGGAGAATTGCCTGAACCCAGGAGGCGGAGGTTGCGGTGAGCCGAGATCGCGCCATTGCACTCCAGCCTGGGTAACAAGAGCGAAACTCCCTCTCATTAAAAAAAAAAAAAAAAAAAAAAAATTCAATTCTGTTCTGACACCTGGCGAGCCCACAGGTTAAGAGCTCAATGCCATAAGACCGCCCCCCCATTGCTGCTAGGCATGAACCTGTACAGCATGTTACTACACTGAATACTGCAGGCAACTGTGACACAATAGTGAGCATTTGTGTATCTGAACACATAAAAAGTACAGTAAAAATACAGCTTATCATCTTATGGGACCACCGTCATATATGTGGTCCATCATCGACCAAAATGTTGTTGTGTGATGCATGACTGGATATATACATGGTTATCCCTTGATACTGAAGGGGATTTGTTCCAGGATCCCCTTGAATACCAAAATCTCGGAGGATGCTCGGGTCCTGCAGTTGGCCCTGCTGAAACTCCGGATGTGAAAAGTAAGCCTCTGTAACCATGCGTTCTACATTCCAAGAATATTGTATTTTCCATCCTCATTTTGTTGAAGCCACAGATGTCGAACTCATGGATATGGAGGGTCGACTGTATATATTTATCTATCTACATTTTTTCTTTTGAATTATTTTCTTATATTTAATTCTCGTGATTTCTTTGCAGAGGTAAACAGAAATGAGAATTTTTTTATTGCATTAAAGAAGAGCAAGAAAATAAATTATAAATGTATCATTCCATGGAATTTTTTGTTTGGCAGAAATGGCTTGTGGCCTAAAAAAACTTTTAAGAGGCCGGGCGCGGTGGCTCAAGCCTGTAATCCCAGCACTTTGGGAGGCTGAGGCGGGTGGATCACGAGGTCAAGAGATCGAGACCATCCTGGTCAACATGGTGAAACCCTGTCTCTACTAAAGATACAAAAAATTAGCTGGACATGGTGGCACGTGCCTGTAATCCCAGCTACTCAGGAGGCTGAGGCAGGAGAATTGCTTGAACCCAGGAGGCGGAGGTTGCGGTGAGCCGAGATCGCGTCATTGCACTCCAGCCTGGGTAACAAGAGCGAAACTCCGTCTCAAAACAAAACAAAACAAAACAAAACAAAAACCTTTTAAGAATGTGTGTGTGTGTGTGTGTGTGTGTGTGTGTGTGAGTGAGTGTGTGTATAAAAGATAAAATAAGTCAGCAGGCCAGGTGTGGTGGCTCGCATCTGTAATACCAGCACTTTAGGAGGCTGAGGCAGGCGGATCACTTGAGCCCAGTTCAGGACCAGCCTGGGCAACATGATAAAAACCCCATCTCTACAAAAAATAAAACAACAATAACAAAAAATTAGCTGGGCATAGTGGTGCATGCCTGTAGTCCTAGCGACTCAGGAGGCTGAGGTGGGAGAATCCCTTGAGCCCAGGGGTTGGGGAATAAAAGGGTGGGGGTGGAGTGTGGGGTGGGGGTTGCAGTGAATCGAGATTGCACCACTGCACTCCATCCTGGGTGACAGAGTGAGACCCTGTCTCAAAGAAAAAAGAAGTCAGCAAAATTTTTAATGTCTCTAAAGTGATTACAACTTAAATGTGTTTTTGCCTTTCAGAGTTTACAGTTTGGTGGGCAGGCTAATCAATTTGCCCTTGGGAAGATGATGCAAATCAGTAAATGAATTTCTAATTTAAAGGTGATAGGAGAGCGTGTACTACATTTTAAGCAATGTGACGAATGCTTTACCTGCATTATTTTATTTAATCCTCAGAAGAGTCCTATAAAATAGCTCCATTTTACAGATGAGGTTTATGTTTTTCAGAGAGGTCAGTCATTCACCCAACATTGCTAGCCAGTGTTACACAGCTAGCAAAGTATTGGAGATAAAATGTAGGCTCCAGAGCCCATGCTTTTAATCACCCATAGAAATTCAGGCCGTTTGGGGGTAGGCTTCTCAATATCAATTATGTCTTAATTGAGAGTATTTGTTTTCCAATTTATCTGAAAGGAGCTCAAGAAAATTAAAAAGAAAACTGGATGCAACCTAATTAACAGATGAAGCTCTGGAAATTTCCTTTTAACACTGTTATAATCAAATGCCTTTTAATAAGTAATTGTGCTGAGTGATGTATCTTTAAGTCAAATCAAGCAAACCGACAGGATCCATGTCCTCTAGAAACGGACCCTTGTGACTGACAATGCCGAAGACATGGATGTTTGAACAGTGAACCAAGAACGAGTCTGTTAAAAGGCAAGATAAAATACAGTATTTACCTGGTATCAAAGCACTGGACTTTTCCACTCCACCAGAGTGGGTCCGGCCCGGTGGGGAAAAGGAAGAAGCCATCCTGGAAGGAATGGGACACAAAAGTGAAGAAAACGCAGATGATGGATGCTGCTTTGGGTTTAACTTGAAAGACCAAAGATAGATGGGTCTGAAGCATGGGACTGATGCCAAGCCAAGTTTTACTTGGTCTCCTGCCCAGGACTGTGTCTAACTCACCAATCAGAGATGGGGCCCCTGTTCCCACCCAATGTCAGTCATTTAACACACACTTTATCTTCTACCTAGTAGGCCTGCCCACTGGCCCTGGGTGTTCTGCTGTCCTGGGACTCAGACAGAGACTGTGTTGCAAGTTCCCCCTCTGGTAGGCATAAAGATGGATCCTCTTATCTCCTGGCGAAAGTACTTTGCTCTGTCCTCCCTATGTCCCCTGCACAGCTGAGGAGGCATGAAGACTGCATTGTGAGGGTAGAGCTCCTTCCTGGCATTCTAGAGGAAAATTCCATCAATGTCTTCGAGATACCAATCTGTCCTCTTGGCCTTATCCAATGTATTTAATATACTGTAATCAATCTGTAATATCCCAACAGTAAATTCACTGCCAACAACGCCGTGCTTTGGCTTATGATTTGCTGCAGTATGTGTCATCATGAAGCTCTATCCTCAGGCTCAGAGAGGTATACAGAAGCCACTTCCCCTATAATTTATTTTATTTGATGTGTGGGTGGGAAGGGAGAGACTAAAGGTCCTTATTGGCATCCTCCCTGGAATATTTCTTCATTATCTGCCAGTGAACAAGGAATGCGTCTTTCCTATCTCCCCACTTCAGTGATCTATGTATCACTGACCATGCACCAGGTACTATTCTAAGAGTTTTCCATATATATATATGTATATATATAATATTTACATATCCAGTAGCCACCTCCTTGTCTAGCATTACGCTGGATAAGCCTGAGAAAAGAAAAAGTATTTGAGGCCGGGCGCAGTCACGCCTGTAATCCCAGCACTTGGGGAAATCGAGGCGAGCGCATCACGAAGTCTCAGAGATCGAGACCATCCTGGCCAACAAGGTGAAACCCCGTCTCTACTAAAAATACAAAAAGTAGCCGGGCGTGGTGGCGCACGCCTGTAGTTCAAGCTACTCAGGAGGCTGAGGCAGGAGAATCGCTTGAACCTGGGAGGCGGAGGTTGCGGTGAGCCGAGATCGCGTCACTGCACTCCAGCCTGGCGACAGAGGGAGAATCCGTCTCAAAAAAAGAAAGAAAAAAAGAAAAGAAAAGTATCCTAAAACCCTGCCATAAAATAAACTACATAGAAAAAAGGCACTTAGTTTGGTTATAAAGAAACAAGTCTGTTCACACAGCATAAAGACGCATTTTATCGTATTTTATAAGCATCACACGCAAAAACAACTAGGGTGCCGGGCCTTGGGGAGTGGAAAGCGCCGGATCCTGGGAGCCAGTCGCCCTGTTCGATCAAGCATTTTCTGAGGGTTCTGTCCAGTAACGGGGAGACGCAGCTGAAAACCAGGAAGGAGGTCGCCGCCCTCCTGGAGTGCACAGTCTGGTGCTAAGAGCCCTGCCCTGAGTCACTGCCAAGCTCTAGTTATGTGACTTTGAACAGGGAATTTCTGTCCCTATTTGTAGAATAAATGGGTTTAAACCAGGGAATCCGTCAGCCAAGTTCCGGGCCCAAAACGTCCCTGGGGCCGTGGTGCCCAGAAGCGGGTGGGCGAGGCTCCCCGCGCCTGCGCTGCGGCGGCCTGACCGCGGGAGCGCTGTTCCCGCTCGGAGAGCGTTCGCGTTCCGAAAGCGCGTGTCCCTCGCTGCGTGCCGTCGTCCCCGGCGCCGCCGCCGCCCGCTGGGCCGGAGGAGGCGGAGCTGGTGCCGTCCCGGCTCCCGTGCGGGGAAGCAGCTTTGGGGGCGGCGAGGCGAGCCCTAGCGGCCGAAGAGGCTGGCAGGTGGCGTCGTGGGGTGGGCGCTCCCGGCGAGAGGAGTCCACTCCATGCGTACGGGCGGAGGTCGGCCCCCGAGAGCCGCCGACATGAAGAAAGACGTGCGGATCCTGCTGGTGGGAGAACGTGAGTCCGCACCCTCCAGCCGGCCCCGGAGTCCCTGCCTTCCCTGCCCCTGTCGCCCCTGCAGCCCCTGTCGCCCCTGCATCCCCAACCCTTGCAGCTCCAGTCCTTCTCGCGCCTCACAGCTCCGCTCTCCTCTCCCCGCGCTCCTAGGCCTTCCAGCCCCTTTACTCTTCCCTTGTGGCTGCCCGCCGGCGGCCCTCATCCTGTCACCTCACCTGGACCCTTCTAAGATCTCCTTTCCCTGTTCCCTAGCCTTCCGCCCAAGCCATGTCCCCATTATCCCCTAACTGCCCGACCTCATCCCTCCAAAGGTTCTCTCCTTTTCCTCTTCGAACCTTGTCCTCCTGGGCCTCACAGTTTCCCAGGCCGCCTCCTTTCAGACCTTCTTGTCTTCCCCTGGAGATTCCCTTGTCATTGCCAGGCAGGTGCTGGAATAAGCAAACTGACCAATTGGGATTGCGTGAACCGGCTCCCGGGGAAGCTGGGGGAGGGGCGCAGAACTATTCGACTTGTGGGCAAGGTCAGGTTTCTGCATTTTTTTGGCACTGGCAGCCTTCACTCCCTCTATGCATTGGCATTAAGATATGTGTAGTGGAAAGGGCCGGATCCCTTTTAGCAATACTTGTGCTCTGCATTGGAATAACTCTTGGTACTCGAGATATTTCCTCAAACATTTTTTCCCGGCTTCAAGTTATGCAAGTGCTCAATGAATTAGAATTATCTGGGGAGAGTCCAATTATTGTTACCCCAAAGCCTAATCTTTGCCCTCTTTTTAAGCATTATTTATTCCATAGGTACTTAGTAGTTAATTTATTAATGACAACAGGCACACAGACATTTGATGCCTTCCCCCACCCAGAAATTTCATACATTTCATCTTTTGAACATGTATGGAAGGATAGTTGCCTCTGTTCACCGCCATGAGGACAGAAAAACGGGGACTTCTCTATCACAGTGCAAGTTATGTGACTCAGTTGCTAGGACTAAAATAAGAAAGTGGGCCCAGGAGAACTAGATTGTTTGTTTAAAAATGTTAATACATTCGTTAATGCTCTGCCATAAGCTGTTTTGAAACCTTCTATTCTAAACCATATTTCGTTCTTGGTAACCCCTCAGGGTCACGATGATGGACTCCCAAGGGCTCACATTTTTGCCCTCCTCTGTAGTGTTTTTTGATCTTCATTGAAATTTCATCCACCTGCTGTTTGGAAAAATCTTCCTTTAGAATTAGAATTTAGGAGTAACCTTAGCCAGCCATAGTTTACTTTTTGGTTTGCAGTTGTAAATTTTAGTTTTTATTTATAATTATATCTTAATCTGTATTTTTCAAGAACTTCTTTGACAAAGTTCGGGTAGGTGTTATTTAACATAAGATTCATGCATATGGTTTTGGAGCAAGGTAGGGAAAGTGAGTAGGTTACTTGCTTAAAAAGCTGATTCTTGTATATCATGAAATAGTTTGTTGTTGTTGTTTTGAGACAGAGTTTCACTCTGTCACCCAGGCTGGAGTGCAGTGGTGTGATCTTGGCTCACTGCAACCTCTGCCTCCCAGGTTCAAGGGATTCTCCCACCTCAGTCTCCTGAGTAGCTGGGACTACAGGCACATGCCACCACACTTGGCTCTACCCTGGGCAATAGAATGAGACTGTCTCAAAAAAAAAAAAAAAAAAAAGACATCTAAATAAAAGTGTTACACATATAAACAATATGTCATTCTTAGGACATGTAAGTTAAAACATTAACAGTATTACTTGGGCCAGGCGTGGTGGCTCATGCCTCTAGTCCCAGCACTTTGGGAGGCTGAGGCAGGCAGATCACAAAGTCAGGAGATTGAGACCATCCTGGCCAACATGGTGAAACCCCATCTCTACTAAAAATACAAATTAACTGGGTATGGTGGCGTGTGCCTGTAGTCCCAGCTGCTAGGGAGGCTGAGGCAGGAGAATCGCTTGAACCCAGGAGGTAGAGGTTGTGGTGAGCTGAGATCGCCCCACTGCACTCCTGCCTGGTGACAGAGCAAGACTCTGTGTCAAAAAAAAAAAAAAAAAAGAATAAGTAAATAAAAATTAACAGTATTACTTATTTAGGAACATATGAAAGGATTCAAAATTTGTTAGAAAGTTTACAATCCATGTTTTAAAGACAATTGGTAAAACTGTATCTATGTGGTACAGTTTTCTTTTATAGTGAGCAACTTGACACAGAGAAAGCCTTAGGTTTTTTTTTTTTTTTTTTTGAGACGGAGTTTCGCTCTTGTCACCCAGGCTGGAGTGCAATGGCGCGATCTCGGCTCACCGCAACCGCCGCCTCCTGGGTTCAGGCAATTCTCCTGCCTCAGCCTCCTGAGCCTTAGTTTTTGAAAAATAAACTTTTCTTTCTTTTTTCTTTTTTTAAGAGATGGGTTCTCGCTGTGTTGCCCAGGCTGGAGTACACTAGCTGTTCACAGGCGTGATCATAGTGTACCACAGCCTCGACCTCTTGGGCTCAAGAGATTCCTGCCTCAGTCTCCAGAGTAGCTAAGACTACAGGCGCCGGCTGCCACATCAGCCACAGGAAGACACTTGTCTTTTTTCTTTCTTTTTTCTTTTTTTTAAAGACGGGGTTTCATCATTTTGCCCAGGCTAGTTTCAAACTCCTGACCTCAGGTGATCCTCCCACCTCAGCCTCCCAAAGTGCTGGGATTACAGGCGTGAGCCACAGCACCTAGCTAGGAAGATGCTTTTCTTAAAGGATGGTACAAAAGCCTTAGGCCATCAACCGTATGTTATTTTTCACATTGAAAAATATCATAAATACTCTTAATCGGAATATATAATTTTATTTATTTTAAAGGCTGATATTTTGGGGGGAAATGTTAGAGGCTTTACTTTGTGAGATTTAATGTAAATATTTGGCAGTCATTAGCCCAGGTGTAGCACTTTGAAATGCTAAGTCTTGGCCAGGTGCGATGGCTCACGCCTGTAATCCCACTACTTTGGGAGGCCAGGGTGGGTGGATTACCTGAGGTCAGGAATTTGAGACCAGTCTGGACAGGAGGATTGCTTGAAAGCAGGAGTTTGAGACCAGCCTGGAAAACATAGTGAGACCCCTGCCTCAAAAAAAAAAAACAAAACCAAAACCAATATAAGCTTGGCATGGTGGTGTGCACCTATAGTTCTAGCTACTGGGGAGGCTGAGGTGAGAGATTGCCCGAACCCAGAAGGTCGAGGTTGCAGTGAGCCATGATTACACCACTGCACTTCATCCCGGGTGACAGAGCAAGATTCTGTCTCTTAAAAAAATAAAAAATAATTAATTTGTAATGGCTAGGTGCAGTGGCTCACGCCTGTAATCCCAACACTTTGGGAGGCCAAGGTGGGTGGATCTCCTGAGGATCAGGAGTTTGAGACCAGCCTGGCCAACATCATGAAACCTGGTCTCCGCTAAAAATACAATAACTGATCAGCTGTGGTGGCCTGCACCTGTAATCCTAGCTACTCAGGAGGCTAAGGTGGAAGAGTGGGTTGCATCCAGGAGGTGGAGGTCACAGTGAGCTGATACCATGCCACTGTACTCCAACCCGGGCAACAGAGGGAGACTCTGTCTCAAAAAAAAAAAAAAAAAAAAAAAAAGAGAAAAGTGAAAAGTGACATATATACCATGGAATACTACTCAGCCATAAAAAAGAATGAAATTGTTTTTTGCAACAACATAGATAGAACTGGATACCATTATCCTAAGTAAAATAACTCAGAAACAGGAAACCAAATACTGCATGTTTTCACTTACACGTGGGAGCTGAATGACAGGTATACATGGAGATACAGAGTGGAATAATAGACACTGGAGATCACAAAGGTGGGAGGGTGAAAGGGCGCTGAGGGGTGAGAAATTACCTATTGGGTACAATGTTTTCTTTCTTTCTTTCTTTTTTTTTTTTTTTTGAGACAGAGTCTCTCTGTCACCAGGCGCCAGGCTGCTGGAGTGCAGTGGCGTGATCTTGACTCACTGCAACCTCCACCTCCCGGGTTCAAGCAATTCTCCTGCCTCAGCCTCCTGAGTAGCTGGGATTACAGGCGTGTGCCACCATACCCAGCTAATTTTTATATTTTTTGGTAGAGACGAGGTTTCACCATGTTGGCCAGGATGATTTCAATCTCTTGACCTCGTGATCCGCCCGCCTTGGCCTCCCAAAGTGCTGGGATTACAGGCGTGAGTCACCAACCCTGGCCCTGGGTACAATGTTTTCTATTTGGGTGTTAGGCATAAGAAAAGCCCAGATATCACCACTGTGCAATATATGCATATAAGAAATCTGCACTTATGCCCCTTAAATATATAAAAATATTTTTAAAATTAAAAAAATAAAAATGAACATATTTTTTTTAAAACGAAAAAAAATACACCCACACAAAATTTAATCTTCAGGTCATAATTTTTCATGGTTAAATTCATTGGCCTGAATTTATATTTAACTGGATTTGCTTTATTATGCTTAAGAAATGTCCTTTTAAAATTAGAGCCTTACTATCTTTTAATCTAAGTCATGTAGCTGTATTAAAAGGAAACAGGATAGGCTAGGTGCGGTGGCTTGTGCCTGTATAGTCCCAGCACTTTGGGAGGCCGAGGCAGGTGGATCATTTGAGGTCAGGAGTTCGAGACCAGCATGGCCAACATGATGAAACCCCCTGTCTACTAAAAATAAAAAAAATAGCTGGGTGTGGTGGCATGTGCTTATAGTCCCAGCTACTCAGGAGGCTGAGGCATGAGAATCGCTGGAACCCAGGAAGTAGCTGTTGGAGTGAACTGAGATCACGCCTCTGCACTCCTGCCTGGGGAACAGATCACGCCTCTGTCTCAGTCAATCAATCAATCAATCAATCAATAAAAGTAAACAGGATAGTTTTCATTTTAGTGAAGTCTTCTTTTTAAATTAAATTGAGATATATTTGTTTTTTCCTAGTCAAGTTCATTAAGAAAATGGAACTGTTATCCTCTTTTATTTTTTATTTTTTTTGAGACGGAGTTTTGCTCTTGTTGCCGAGGCTGGAGTGCAGTGGCACAATCTTGGCTCACTGCGACCTCCACCTCAAGCAGTTCTCTTGCCTCAGCCTCCTGAGTAGCTGGGATTACAGGCATAAGCCACCATGCTCAGCAAATTTTGTATTTTTAGTAGAGATGGGTTTCTCTGTGTTGGTCAGGCTGGTCTTGAACTCCCTATCTCATGTGATCCTCCTGCCTTGGCCTCCCAAAGTGCTGGGATTACAAGTATGAGCCATCACGCCCAGCTGTTATCCTCTTTTAAAATGAATCTGGCAGCTCAGAGTTAAACTAGTTTGTTTAACTCTGATTATCATTACAACCTTTGCCAAACTAGTTCAAACTTCTATTGGCTTTGGACTAGATTTTTGCAATTATCTCCCTTAAGCAGTCTGTCTTTTTTTTTCTTTTTTTTTTTTTTAGGACGTGGTTTCACCATGT